TTGACCCATATGGATAAATTAAGTAAAGTAAAAAACTATGTTTAGTGCCCTTGGAATCTATCCCACATGTAATTCCTCCAGGTTTGTACTACTATAAATTTTTAAATCTTACAAATCTTTTAGTACATGAGCTTCTGCTCCCAGTTGTGATTCTGTGATTAGCCCTCAAGGCATGTGGGGATCTGACTCTCGTGATGGGTCCATTATGGTGGGAGAGTTAACATCCTTGAAGGAATTAATTCAGGCCACTACTACACAGTCTTCCAGCAGGGAGGACCAGCCTCTTTAGACTGCCAGTGAGTCTAGTTCTCTTGACAAAGAGGGCTAAGTAGGATTGGGAGATTCAAGATATGACTCATTTGAATTTTATCAAGTACCATCATTCAAATTCTCTGTATCTCACCCTTCAATAATCAGCTCTAACTTTCACCTAAGAAACCTAGCAAGGCTATGAATTCAAATTTATTATAAATCAGGAACCCATGGAATCCATATCTGAGTCCAATTGTAGGCTGCTTCCAGGCCTGATCTAGAACTTTATTGTAAGTTTAACTAAATGTGCCAGATTCAATCAGTGCCCCACATAGATCCCCTCAACACTTGCCATTTTGTGCATGACAACCCAATTTCCATGAGCCATCACCTAGGGTCCTATGCCTGGGGCCTCCTGGGGCTGATGTAGCCCATTTGGCCAACACAAGGAAGTCCTGGAGTGCCAAGCAATGAACACACAGCCCCTCTGGGAGAAACCTGCATCTATGCCTGACAAGAGCTTTCTTATGTGAGGTGTGATTGCTGAAGTAATATGTAGACTGCAATCCCTCTCCAGTGGGACTGAGCTCAAGTTGTGCCTTTTATTGGCCACTGTCTCCTTCCTGACTCACTTCTGTGCCTAGCATTTCCTCCAAAGTAAACATCCACATTTGAATTTGCTTCTAGAGAAATCCAAACCAAGACAGGCAGTAATAGAAATAAAATGTCCATACCACACAAAGCAATCTATAAGTTCAATGCAATCTCTATCAAAATACCAATGTCATTTTTCACACAAGTAGAACAAATAATCTGAAAATTTATATGGAACCAGAAAAGACCCAAAATATCCAAAGAAATCTTAAGAAAGAAGAAAAAAATTGGAGGTGTCATGCTACTGATATCAAACTACACTACAAAGCTATAGTAAATCAAAACAACATGGTACTGGCATGAACACAGACACATAGATCAATGGAACAGAATAGAGAGCCCAGAAATAAACCTACACCTATAGGTCATTTAATCTATGACAAAAGAGGCAAGAATATGCAATGGAGTAAAGACAGTATATTCAATAAATGGTGTTCAGAAAACTGGACAGATACATGCCGAGAGAGAG